CACGCGCCGCCCATAGCAGCAGCAGCAGCACCTCCTCCTCCGGGGGCAGCAGCACGCGCCGCCCGTAGCAGCAGCAGCAGCACCTCCTCCTCCGACGTCAGCCCCACGCGTTGCCTGCAGCAGCAGCAGCACCTCCTCCGGCGGCAGCCACACGCGCCGCCCGCAGCAGCAGCAGCGCCACCACCTCCTCCTCCGGCGGCAGCAGCACGAGCCGCCCGCAGCAGCAGCACCTCCTCCTCCGGCGGCAGACGCTCCGCCCGCAGCAGCAGCAGCACGTTCTCCTCCGGCAGCAGCACCACGCGCCGCCCGCAGCAGCGACAGCATGTCCTCTGGCGGCAGCAGCATGCGCCGCCCGCAACAGCAACAGCACCTCTCCTCCTCAGGCAACAGCAGCATGCGTCGCCCGTAACAGCAGCAGCAGCACCTCCTCCTCCGATGGCAGCCGCACGCGCCGCACACGCCGCCCGCAGCAGCAGCAGCACCTCCTCCGGCGGCTGCCGCACGTGCCGCCCGCAGCAGCAGCAGCAGCACCTCCTCCTCCGGCGGCAGCAGCACGCGCCGCCCGCAGCAGCAGCAGCATCTCCTCCTCCGGCGGCAGCAGCACGCCCCGCCCGCAACAGCAGCACCTCCTCCTCCGGCGGCAGCCGCACGTGCCGCCCGCAGCAGCAGCAGTAGCACCTCCTCCTCTGGCGGCAGCAGCATGCCCCGCCCGCGTCGTCCTCTAGCGGCAGCTTCATGCGCCACCCGCGCCCTCCTCCGGCGGCAGCTTCATGCGCCATCCGCACCCTCCTCCGGCGGCAGCTTCATGCGCCGCACGCGTCCTCTTCTGACGGCAGCTTCATGCGCCGCCCGCGTTCTCCTCCGGCGGCAGCCTCATGCGCCGCCCGCGTCCTCCTCCAGCGGCAGCTTCATACGCCGCCCGCGTCCTCCTTCGGCGACAGCACCACGCGCCGCCCTCAGCAGCGCTTCCGTCGGGCAAACTCACCATGTGCCGTCCGCTTCCTCCCTCGCGCCGTCCTGATTCAGGGGTTGCTTCCATTCACTGCCTCAAGACTTCTCTCTCTATGCAGACTAAGGGGTTGTGTTAGAATATCCTACTGTATTCACTAGTCTACATAGACTTGTTAGTCTTGAGTAGAGTTAAGCACTCCACTACTATTTGGATGTAATAACCCTAATTGGAGGTTGGGTTCCCAACTTGGTTGGGCTCCCAATTTGGTTGGGTCCACAACTATTTGGGACCCCCAATAATTCCCACCAGAATTATTGGACCACCAATAATCCCAACCAAAATTATTGGTGGGGGCCAATAATCTTGGCCAACTCCCAACCAACCCTCCCTTCCTCCCTTTCCTCACATTCCTATGTAGACCCTTGTGCTTTCCCTCTAATAAACTTTTCTAAGTTCACCTTTTCTCACAAGCACGCCATCGAATCGAGCACCAACTGTAGTGCTGGCCCCACACTCATGGAACTTGTTGTGGTGGACTAGCGCCCTCGAAAACAGTCAACGCTCGCATGCTACTCGTGCGGGAAAGTCTGCCACATCAAACGTCACTGCCCGAATCACCGACATTTTAGAGATCCCTGGGAAATGGGGAGCCCCAGTAGCTCTGGAGCAAACTCCTGGTGCAGCAACCACCCCCCTACTTCCAACACCATCATTCATCATCAGATCTGAGCTCTACACAATGACGCAACACACTCGCTTTCTTGCCATTCTCTATGCTAAAATCATGAATCATTTTTTTTTATTTTTTTTTTTGATTTTTTTACTCCATACCGGTGCGTGTGCAAACTTAATTTCCCCCTCTATTGCTTCTTAACCCTCACTTCCCAAAGGCCCTTATAGTTATCCCCAAGATGTCATCACGGCGGACTGTATTCGACGGCGCAGTGGGAGAACGCCACTTCCGGTACCTTGCAAGTTCAGACTGGAGGCTATGGTGATGTTTGAGTAGCTACCCCTCAGCAGCTACGAATGTGCTCTTGGTCGTCGATGGTTATACCACCTTGGACCCTGCATTTATTGGATCCCCGTAAGTGTTGTTGCTGGTAACTACTACATCTCGTCTTTCAGCCGTTACCGCCCTTGGTCATTTCCACCCCAACCAGCTGCACCCGCCCCTACCTCCTCCTCCTCTCGACCCATCCCCTCTGCTGCCACTCCCCCCCCCCCGCACACCCGAAGTCATAAAAGCACCTGTTCCTTCCCCTCCTCATCCAAACCGGCAGCCCTCTCATCCCATCTTCACAACCGTTTCTGAAATCTTTGACCCCCCACCCCCTTCTCTGTCATCATCACCTACTCCTCATGACCTCTTGTTCATCTTCACTATGCCTATCTTGGCTTCACTACTCAACCCTATTCAAGCTCACGTTCAACACTTACTTCACCACTACAGCGGTGTTTTTCCAGCATATCACCTCGCTGCGCCCCCCTCCGACCGTGCTCTTGGTCATAGCATCCGCTTAGTCCCTGGATCTACACCATTGGTCCACCCCATGTATCGCATGAGTACAGTGGAACTGTCGGAGATGCGTCACCAACTCGAGGACCTTCTTTCCAAGGGTCTTATCCGCCCCAGCACTTCACCTTACGCTGGCCCCGTACTATTTACCCGGAAGAAGGAAAGGCGATGCATGACTCTGCTTTGACTGTCGCGCACTCAACGCCATCATCATCAAGAACAAGTACCGGCTACCCTGTGCTAAGGAGCTGTTCAACATGATCTACACAACATTGTTTGGTAAACAAGATCTATGATCTGGTTACCATCATATCCACGTCGTTGAAGCTGACCCTCCAAAGACGGCATTTTGCATCCGCTATGGTAATTTCGAGTTTCTTGTTCTACCATTCGGGCTCACCAATGCTCCAGCCACACTCATGGGCCGGGCGGTGTTCCGGGGTGGCAAAAGCAGAGCCGGGCGGTGTTCCGGGTTGGCATGACCAACTACGCGATCACCATGCCCATGCATTGGCGCTCCAGCCCACGCTTCCGCGCTTCCGCTGGACCTGTTTGACGTGCGTGTCATCAGTGGCGTGGAGCCCAAGTGGCGCAAGGAGATGGAGGAGGATGGAGTGCGGTTGGGAGGGAGGTTGAACCCGGAGGAACTGCAGGGTTTTAAGTACGAGCTGGACGTGGACGGGGGCACGGGGAGTGGCCGGACATGCGGCATCCTGGCCAGCAATCAGGAATGGAATACGACGATGGTACTTTATACCAGTACCCCTTTCCAACTCCACCTAACTCCCCCCCTTTACCTTCCCCGTAGCCCCCCCCCCCTTTCCTCCCCTCTCCCCAACCCCTACACCTTCCCTCCCTTGGTGGTGCTTCCTTCGCAGTTTTCCCCCTCTACTTCCCACTATTCCCCTCCCACCGTCCACTCAAATTCCCCCATTCATGTCTACAAAAGTATTAGAAAATCATCTACAGCTAGCGTTATCTCCAGCAACATCTCTCTGTCTATGGCAAGCCGGCGAGTACTACCAGCTCTTCGACCCGCTGCTGTGCCCCATGACACCCACCACCCCTTCTCCCTCCCTCCTTCCACCACCATTTCTCCTCCCTTTCCCCACAGGTGCTGATACAGCAAGCCAACGAATACTACCAGTCCTTTGACCCGCTGCTGTGCACCATGACGCACTTCCTCCCCACGCACCGCCACTTCCAAAACCTCTTCGCACAGATCGAGTGGGAGCGCGAAAACGACCGCAAGGCCCGCGAGATTGTTGCATCGGCCAATGAGTTCGCAAGGTAATTTGCCCTGATATAGACCCTCTTGCTGGGAAAGAGGGGAAGGTATTCCCCCTAGATTTTGACTTTCTGACCACCAACTGAGCTTGTAGCTGCCCATGTTCAAACATGACTCACAGCAGAACATTCCTTACCACGCGTCGGCTCACTCCTACCCCCTCCACCCCTCTCCCCCCCCTTTTCTCTCTCCTTCCCTCATCGCCAAGCCCCCTACCCGCCCTTTATGCAGCACCCTCTGCATGTGGGAGGGACGATGGCTCTTCTGGGCCATTCTCCTGGCCAATTATTCCACCAGTGCCTTGGAAGACAGCTCCAGCATAGTGGCTCCGCCTCTCTATCCCTGCTCAATCCCCCCTACTAACTCTCTCTTATCCCTTTATCCTCCCCATCCTCATCCCTCCCCATTTTATAGCACTCTGCACGTAGGAGGGCCGACGGCTCTTCTTGGCGATTCTCCTCGCCAATTATTCCACCAGCGCTCTAGAGGACAGCTCCAGTATAGCAGCCCCGCCTCTCTACCCCTACACCTCCCTTTTCAACCATCTCTTTCCCTCTCTCCTCCCCATCCCCATATCTCCCCACTTTACAGTACTCTCTGCACGTGGGAGGGCCGACGCTATTCTGGGCGATTCTCCTGGCCAAGTATCCCTCCAGCGCTCTAGAGGAAAGCTCCAGTATAACAGCCGCGCCTCTCTACCCCTGCTCTATCCCCCCTACTCACTCTTGCTTTCCACTTATCTTCCCCATCCCAACGTCTCCCCACTTAACAGTACTCTCTGCACATAGGAGGGACGACGCTTTAACAGTACTCTCTGCACATAGGAGAAAAAAACCTCACAACGAGTGGGTGCGGTTCCAAGACATGAGGGAACAGGAGGGAGGGAACACGCGTGAGGGAAGACGAGTGAGGGAAGACGAGTGAGGGAAGACGAGAAAAGCAACAGTGAGCTACATGCCAGACTCATTCCTTGCTTGAGGAATGAGAATGAAGGATCACTGACCGCGTTGGCATTATATAAATAAACAAGGCTTCAGGCTCTGTTTTTCAACAAATGACTTTTGCGAATGCTCAAACCTATGGCAAAACTCGATTTTGGTCATAGAGGCTTCTTGTTCCAGGTGCCTTTTTGCCTCCACTAAAGCAGAGAAGCAAATTGAGTCTGAAGGCACACAGATGGATGCGCTGGGTTGCTGCTTCTTGTCTGTATGAATGCAAGCTGCTACTTCATGACAGATTTGGTTACCTCTATCACAATAGACAATGATATACATCAACTGAAACAAGAGAAATAATCAGAAATATAATCTCTCAGCCCTGCATCACATGGAACGATGCGTTGAGAAGGGCTGGGGGGTGATGGGACATAGGTTGGGCTTTGATGCACCTCAAGAGCAGATGCAGTGAAACTTGAGGTGAATCAAAGCCCATCCATTCACTTGCTCGCGGCTTTGTCTGCCGCTTGTACTTGGCTTGCAACTTGAGAATCGCTTGTGAGAGATACTTGAGAGAGATACTTGAGAGTGCTTCCAGCCTGCCTGAGAGATACTTGAGAGTGCTTCCAGCCTGCTTGCCTGCCTGCCTGCCTGCCTGCCTGCCTGCCTGCACGCCCTCCCACCACACCTGCCTCTTCTGCACGCACCCCTCAGCGCCTGCCACGGCCACCAAACCCTCCCCCCATGCCTCCTCCCCCCCCTACCACCACGCCCCCTCCCCCCATGCCTCCTCCCCCCAGGCCCCCTCCCCCCATGCCTCCTCCCCCCATGCCTCCTCCCCCCATGCCTCCTCCCCCCATGCCTCCTCCTCCCATGCCTCCTCCTCCCATGCCTCCTCCCCCCATGCCTCCTCCCCCCATGCCTCCTCCCCCCATGCCTCCTCCTCCCATGCCCCCTCCACTACCACCACCCCGTCCCATTCCACCCGCTCCACTTCCCCCGCCTCCTCCCATTCCACCCCCTCCTCCAGTTCCGCCCATGCTGCCCCCAGGGCCTCCCATTCCTCCGCCTCCCATGCCACCCCCTCCTCCCATTCCTCCCCCGCCCATGCCACCCCCTCCTCCCATTCCTCCCCCGCCCATGCCACCCCCTCCTCCCATTCCTCCCCCGCCCATGCCACCCCCTCCTCCCATTCCTCCCCCGCCCATGCCACCCCCTCCTCCCATTCCTCCCCCGCCCATGCCACCCCCTCCTCCCATTCCTCCCCCGCCCATGCCACCCCCTCCTCCCATTTCTCCCCCGCCCATGCCACCCCCTCCTCCCATTCCTCCCCCTCCCATGCCACCCCCAGCACCACCACCTCCCATCCCTCCCCCAGATGGACCGCCCTGATTTCCTCCGTCCATCCCTCCACTGTAGTCACCACCGTTGCTCCCTCCATTATAGTCACCACCATTACTCCCTCCATAGTCTCCACCCGTGTTTCCCCCGCTGTAGTCACCACCAGTGCTGTAGTCCCCACCGGTCCCTCCATTATAGTCACCACCAGCACCATAGCCCCCACCATTGTTCCCCCCACCATAGTCACCCCCAGGTCCTCCCTGTCCGACCCCAGGTCCCCTCTGTCCGCCCCCAGGTCCCCCTTGTCCGCCCCCCTGCACTGGTCCTCCCCCACAACCCCCACCACCAGCACCAGCAGCACCAGCAGCACCAGCAGCACCAGCAGCACCAGCAGCACCATCAGCCTCACCAACATTGGCGGCAGCACCTGCTCCTCCCCCACTACCACCACTGCTGTAGTCGCCGCCTGTGTTGCCCCCACTATAGTCACCACCGCTATTACCGCCACTGTAGTCACCACCATAGTTACCCCCAGGCCCCCCCTGTCCGCCACCAGCCCCCCCCTGACCGCCCCCAGGTCCCCCCTGTCCGCCACCAGGGCTCCCCTGTCCGCCACCAGGGCGCCCCTGTCCGCCACCAGTTCCCCCCTGTCCGCCAACAGGACCCCCCTGTCCGCCATTAGGGCCCCCCTGTCCGCCACCTCGCTTGCAGTCCCCCCCCCACCTCCTACTCCTCCTCCTCCACTGCTACCACCGCTGCTGCCACCATAGTCGCCACCGTTTCCCCCGTTATTGCCACCTCCAGAGTTGTAGTCACCACCATTTCCCCCATTATAGTCACCACCGCCATTACCACCGTTGTAGTCACCCCCATTGTTTCCTCCGTTGTAGTCACCCCCACTGCTTCCTCCGTTGTAGTCACCCCCATAGTCACCACCACCGCCACCACCGCCCGTGCCACCACCAGTGCCTCCCCCTCCGGACGAGGCAGAGGAGCAAGAGAAGTCCACTTGAAGCCATCCACTGCAGGGGGCGAGGGCGAGGGGGAGACGGCAGGATGGCACAGGAGGACAGTAAGAACAGACGCATTGATTGTTGCGAACGGCAGGAGGAAAAAACGCACTATAGAGATGAGATGAGGGTGAATGCAAGCTGCGAAACCCGCAATGCAGTGTGTGTGTGTGTGTGTGTGTGTATGTGTGTGTGTGTGTGTGTGTGAGAGAGAGAGAGAGAGAGAGAGAGAGAGAGAGAGAGAGAGAGAGAGAGAGAGGGTGTGTGTGTGTGTGTGTGTGTGTGTGTGAGAGAGAGAGAGAGAGAGAGAGAGAGAGAGAGAGAGAGAGAGAGAGAGAGAGAGAGAGAGAGAGAGAGAGAGAGAGACAGAGGGTGTGTGTGTGTGTGTGTGTGTGTGTGTGTGTGTGTGTGAGCACGCATGTGCACTCACTCATAGCTGCCGTGGAAGCCAAGCGACTGCGAGCCGTCGCTGGAGTGGGCCCACACGAGCATGTTGCTGCCTTGCACGCTCACAGGCACCGACCCGTCGCCCGACGAGCGGTTGAACCTGATTCCAGCAGGCAAAGCAGAAAGAGTGTGAGAGGGTGAGAGATCCAGAACCCGAAGCCCTCAAAACTCGACGCTAAACCCTCAAAACGCAAAGCCCGCACCTGAGCCAGCGCCACCTAGACCCCTGAAACCTAAACCAGAAGCCCAAACCCGAATCAGCCAGCAATCCGAAACCCTAAAGCTCGAAATCAACATCCAAGGCAGAATGAAAACTCCGAAAATCCAAACCCCGAAACTCCAGACCAGAAACCAGGGCATACCTCAGGACGGTGGATCCCGAGGCTGACGTGGCGAGCTGCGCGTTGCCAATATCGAAGCTGCTTGTAGGCTGAACGTCGCTCTGCCCCGTGCCGCTCATGTACACCGCTTTCACGCCGCCGCCTGCCAGATTGCCGACCACGGCGTCGGACCCCGCCATGCGGCCTGTTGACGACCAGCCGACAGAAAACCAGCCGGCCGCGGCTGCGCTGCCGGCCGCCGCTTCCAGCGCGAAGGCGAGCTGCGACGAGGTCACTGCGCGCCAATGCAGGGTGAGACCGCTGGAGCCCAGCGCGACGGACGAGGTGAACCCGTCCAGCGACGATGCCTGGCAGCCCGAGCTACTAGTAGCAGCCGCCGTGCTGCGCGCCGATTGGATACTGCTGCCAGGGCTGCTAGTGCTGCCAGTGCCGCTCCTTTGACCGTTCGAATTGCCGCGCAGGAGGCCGCTTCCGGACCTCCATATCGTCCGCGCTATGGAACGACTCGATTCGATTCCCTGGGAACGAAAAAGGGCACGCTGCGCGCCGTTTGCTGCGGTGGGAGTGGGAGCGGCGAGCAGGAACGAGCCGAGTAGCAGTAGGAGAAGCACAATACTGCTGGGTGCTCTACTTCTAGCGGCACGCGGTCCCGCCATGCGTCGATGCATCTCTCGGGAAACGACGGCAAAGGATTTTATAACCAGCGAAACCAGCGATTCTTTATTAAGCGCTCGTACGATCGTGGTAGCAGCTATCTCACAGGCCACGGCTCGTACTACTTCGGAGTACTTGCTCAGAAGACTCTTGAAGTTGATGTTATATAATGGCAAGGGGAATCAATTTATATGTGGGGGCTCACTCACTCACCTTTCGCAGGCAAATCACACCAGCGGCTCGGAGCAGCACCCCCAGCGTCAATTCCGAGAGATCCGCGAAGTGTGCCGACGACCTCCAAATGCTATTCTGTCGCACAAGCGGGCAGATATGCTACGGCGAGAGTGGTAGACGACTCCTGGTAACGTAGATATATTTCGTCAGAGCCAAACCTCGCGTCTTTTGGTAAGGGGGAGAACGGAAGGCTGATTTGCGTTGACCGTCGTTTCAAGGGGTTGAAAAATCGCTGACTCGTGGATTTGACTCACCTTTGGTCGATCCATGGAATTCTTGAGAATGCCATCTTATTGACATGTTCCATTGTGTAGCTATGATGCTACAGATTCCCCAACCTGTTCTAGCTGGTCTATAATGTTCTCACAATGCCTGTTAAAAGGAAAATGCATGGTAGATGTGCTTGAGGCATACCTCAAGAGCTCTGCTGAAGCAAATTTATTGACACATAGATAGTCAATTCGTGTTACAGCTGCTTTATGAGAGGTTGTTTTAACTATCTCCAATTGTTTCCCGTATATTGTGCAAAACTCACGCACGAAAACATATAATCCACATCCCAGGCCAGCGAGTATCCTTTCTTTGACCTGTGACCCACTTCCGCCCCCCCAAATGCCCCTTCTGCCTCACTCCACCCCCACTTCTCTCCGATAGCGGTGGACTACCGGCATGGATACAAGCAAGGGAGAAACAACTCAGACTAGACAAAGCTGAGTATAGAATCGCTGGTGGTCACGAGGCCTAAGGGCCTTGGTGAAGATATCAGTAGTGTTGGCCTTCGAGGCCAACTCTACTACACGGGCTTGACCACACTACTGCAACTCACGTAGCTGGAAGTACTGCAGAATCATGGCCCTGTCATCAGCAAACAGGACTGGGGCAGACATAGGCCGCTCACCTAAGTCAGTGAGCAAGAGAGTCAGCAACCGGAGCTCCTGAGCGGTCATAGTCCAAGCATAGATCTCTGCCTCACAACTGGACTGAGCTGCAGACGATGACCTAATGGACCTTCATGAGACTACATCCACACCAAGACTAAAGCAGTAGCCCTGTGAGGACATGAGTGTCTCCAGATCGTCAGCCCAAGACTCGTCTGTGTGTCTAGTGAGGACCTCTGGCTCTCGACCTCCCAGCACAAGCCCCTGTCCTGATGTACTTGCCAGATACCGCAACACCCTCTTGGCAGCCGACAGTGCTCTGGTCGATGTCTGCTAGGCGCAACAAAGCGAGCAAGGATACTAAGACGGTACACTAGATCTGGTCGAGTGCACGTCATCAGGTACCCCCACCAACCAGGTGGACCACTAGGCTCGACGTGCTCAGCAGAAAAAGGAGCACAGTGCTTGTGGTCCACAGGCAGAGGGGTGGGCTATGTTGACAAGAACTGAAAGCCAAGACGCTGGAGGATGTGCTGCACCATATGGGACCACGAGAGTGTGATCGTAGGCGCTGCATGATCACGAGAGATCTCCAAGCCCAGATAGCACCACAATTCTCCTAGGTCTGTATAGGCGTGTCGCATGAGCAGCTCGGCCTTCATGGAGGCTAGTTCGACTTTGTCTGGTGTAGCAAAGATAAGGTCGTCTATGCACACAAGTATGTAGAACGGAGCCTGACCTGCACGAACAAAGAGCGAAGGGTCAGCAGAGGATGAGAAGAAGTGGAGAGCCGTGAGTGTCGTGCGAAGCGTGTCGTACCACTGATGTGGCGCCTGGCGTAGACTGTAGACAGTGCAGCGCAGGCTCCACTGGGTCCCAGGCTCCAGAGTGTGGAGTTGTACTCACGCTGTACGGGTATGTGGAAGAGCACCCGAAGAGTATTCAACTTTGAGGTGGGGGAGAATGTTTGGAAGAAGTCCACACCCTCTCGCTGAGTGAAGCCTCTAGCCACAAACCATGCCTTGAAGTGCGGCGGCTCTCCAGAGGAGCGCTTCATCATATAGATCCACTTGCCATCGACTATGTTTGCCCAACGTGGAGGAACTGCGTCGACGTGAGTGCAAGGGGATCTATCAGATACCATCTCTGCCTTTATAGCCTGTATCCACTGGGCTGTCCAGGCACCCAAGACTGCCTCAGCCTACGAGCGTGGGGTAGGGATGTCCAGGGTGTCTGGGTCACTCTCAGAGGACACAAGCATGTCACAGAGAAAGGTTACAACATCCGCAAGGAGAGCTAGCTCGTACTACCTAACCTCTAGAACGTCATTGCCAAGGGCAGGTTCACCCCCGATGGACAGAGGACAAGCAGGCTCAAAGACCAAAACGGAAGCGTAGTCAAGGCAGTGGCTTGCGGCAAAGTCAGCGACAGCAGCGATGAGAGTAGAGACACCCTCACGAGGAGCAGTAGGGTCCGTGACAAGCGACGCAAGCAAGAAGGAATCAACTAGGTGTGTAGTGGGAGAAGATTCAGAGGGGGGAGCAGGGGACAGCGGGAGCAACGATTGGGGAGGTAACGGCAGGGCAGGGACCGGAGGAGCACGAGAACGAATAACCATAGGGTGGACATGGGCACGAGAAAAGACAGAACGACCACCAGGGAGATGACACACCTAGTGGGATAGGACGGGGGACGGGGGACAGGACAGAGGACGGAGGAGAGTGAGGGGAGAAACAAGCAGGAGAGGAGTCCGGTGCGAGGGGGGGGGGGGAGGGGGAGAGGAGCGGACTGTAGACAGCATCAGACAGGAGGGGAGGCACTGTAGGAGGGAGAGACAGGCGATCAGGGGAGCTGAAGAAAAGGCCAAGCACTCGCAGAACCAGCATCCGCAGAGCCAGCACCCACAGAGCCAGCACCCCCAGAGCCTGCAACCCCAGAACCAGCACCCATAGAGACAGCACCCCCAGAACCAGTACCCTTTGAACCAGCACCCCTAGAGTCCACATGCAGCCACTACTGCTGTTGCAACTTCTGTTGCGACAACAGAGGCAGAGGATTCTGATGTGCCTAGGGCACTGGGGCTGGGGGGAGGGGCACCGCAGCTACGGCAGGTGCGCCCTCAGCCCGGAGGTCTCTAGAGTAAACAGACTTCCTCACAGGCCCATCCGAGTGGAGGGGAGTGGCGTGGGAGACACAAGACTGGGCCGGGCATGGTGGGAGGAAAACATAAGGTGGTGCAGCAGTGAGGAAGAGAGGTGGGGGAGGAACATGAGTGTTACGATGAAGGAAGCGGGCGTAGAACGAGACGGACTCGTCGAACATATAGTTACGAGAGCGAAAGAAGCGGTGCTGTCCCATGTGGTAGAATAGTCAGTTAGGAGCATCGAGCAGGAATCCGAGGAAGACACATGGGACAGTGCGGGCTTGTCCGTGCTGAGAGCGCGGACGTGAGCCAGGCTGTGCGTCACCAGGAGACCTAGTCCAGAGGAGGGTCGGCAAAACCAGTGGCTGTGAGGAGCGAGACCACATATTAAGCCGGTGAGCCGCATGCGCACCGCGGACGGCCACAGAAAATGGGGGGCACCGGCATGGACCATGGACGTGCGGGCCACCTCCATGACCAAGCTAATGCGACGCTCAGCAACTTCATTCTGCTGCGGCATGACAAATTCTGGAAGGGTGAACGTCTGGGTGATGCCCTCCTCATGACAGAAATTACATAGACGTCTAGAGGCGAACTCCCAACCACGGTCGGAGTGAAGACGGAGCACAAGCAGGGAGCGCCGGGTGTGGACAAGACGAAGTCACAGGAGGAGGGCGTCAAGCACATCCGCCTTCCGCTCCAAAGGAAAGATTGTGATGAACCATGCAAATTCGTCGACGACAACCAGGAAGTAGCGCTCCTCGCGAGGACCCAGGACTAGAGCAGGGCCCCAGACGCCCGTGTGTAGAGTCTGTAAGGGAGCGATACGGGGAGACCAGTGACTAGACCGTGGGACGCCATGTGACGCAGCTGCAGGAGAGCAGGGTGACCTATAAGCGGTGATGCCACAGGAGTGTCGAGTGGGTGAGGGAGCAACAGGAGCAGGACGCAGCAACCAGGGTGGACGCTGCTAAATGGGTGGACTTTGTATGCACTGTGAAGAGACCGGATGCAGGGTCGCGGTCAAAGGTGGCAAGACGAGCGCCCGTGGCAGTGTCCGTACGAAGTACATATTGCTCGTGGCTAGGGAACGCGGTGGTGACGTCGAGGCCCTTTACATGGCCGATACGAACCAAGTTCTTGGAAATCATGGGGATATGCAAGCTAGTAAAGGAGCCGGACGGGACAGCCGGAGAGGGAAGAGTCGTGGAACTATGAGCAACGACTACGGCAAGGGAGTCAGTGAGGAAGATTAGTGCCGATGCAGAAAGCGGTGTAAGTGCAGTGCGGTCTCGGAAGAAGCAGCGAGACGCGCTAGGATCCAGTGTGTAGGAGAGGGCCGCTGTAGGAGGGGCAGGGGAGGAGCCTAGTCGACACGTGGTAGAGGTGTCTAGAGTACACCAGCAAAGGGAGCTAGAACCCCAGGCCCCCAGGCCGCCAGAGATACCACGCGGGCCCCAGGGCACCACCCCGGGGCCCAACCTACAGGGCCTCCGCCGTGCCCAACACTCCCAGGACCCCACCGCGGCGGCTGCTGCTGCTACTGTGGCAGTTGTTGTGGCCGCTGAGGCTTACTGACAGGCTGGCTAGCTGGCTGGCGGGGAACGGCTAGCTGGCTAGCAGCTGGTTAGCTAGCTGCGGATCGGTGGCGGCAAGCTGGCAGCAATGTGCTGGCAGCGAGCTGGCGGTGGCGAGTTGCTAGCCTGCTGTTGGCGGCGGTGAGCTGGCGGCGAGCTGGCAATGGCCAGCGCGCTGCTGGCGACGGCAATCAATCTCCGGAACTGGTACAAGTTGCGTGCGTGACCCAGCCGCATGGCTCCGCATTGGAGCACAGTTGAGAAGATTGACCAAGGAGAATTAAGCTTCTCTCACCCACCCCCATG